AACCGATTCTATTGTTTTCCTCTTCCCCTGTCAAAAGTCTTTCCTCCTCCAACCTGTCTAAATCTTTTAAATTCGCAAGCAAATCTTCAACTTTCTTGTCCACATTGCCAAATACTTCTTTGTTCCATACTTTTACTTTGGATTTGATGAGAGACAATCTCCTAGCAAGCAGGAAAACCCCTCCCCTTCCCTGTATTCTTTCTGAGATCCAGTTGCTTAGTTCCTCAAAGAATCTGTTATCTTCCATCCACATATTTTGAAATCTCCATGGCCTCCTAATTTTCTTTTCCTCGCCCCATCTTATCGCAAGAAGATTGTGATCGGATTCCACCCTGTTCATTGCGGTAAGAGTACAATTAGGGTATAAGCTGTCAAAATCTTGAGAAATCAGAACCCTGTCGATACGGGACATGGACTCCCTATTCGTACCGTGGCTCCAAGTATAATTGCTACCACACAGGGGAAGCTCAAGGAGACCATTCAAATCAATAAAGGAATTAAATTCATTCATGATCTCTGAGTTTCTTCTCCCACCGATGTAATCATCGTGGCTTCTGATCAGGTTGAAATCGCCGGCAAGACAAACTGCACCTTGATGTTGTGAACAAAAATCGTTGAGCTCGGAAAGGAATAGCAGCTTCTCGACCCGGTTTTGCGGCCCATACACAAAAACAAAATGCCATGATTTAGAAGAAAGGTTCCAAAAGATCAACAGCAAGGAAATGAGTACCTTCCTGATATGAGACTTTTGTGAAGAAAGCAGTGTCCCAGAAAGCCAGAATGCCCCCGAGCAACCAACAGCGTCTTTGGCCACCTAATCGCGCTCCCTCCTTGAATATAAGCTGCCGATAAGAGATTCATTGCACTGTGACCACTTGGTTTCCATGAGTCCAACGATTTTCGGGTTGTGGATACCGATCAACCTCTTGATTCTACTTCTCTTGTCCGGGTCTCCGAGGCCCCTTACGTTCCAAATGCATACGTTTGTGTCCATCTATTTCTGGCCTGTAATGAAACCACCTCTCCCTTTCTTGCATTTTCTAGGGCCCTTTGGGGGAGACACAGCCCGCTCCAATCGCTTTGTTTCCATTTCGAGTTTCGATCGAGCACTTCTAATCTTCTTCTGATGTAGTTCCTGAGCTGCTTGGGATAACTGATTATCGCTGCAAATGCGACCGTCCACGTGATCAAGTTCCAGAATTCCACTCAACGATATACAAGCCTGCACTAAACTTTCCTTATTGAAAGGGTAAGAATTGCTGTCCCATTCTCTGTTGTCGCTAGCCAAAACACAGGATGGTGAGGGTAATTCGTCCGATGCTACCACAGAATGATGAAAGCCTGCTCTTGGAGATTGTGGAGTTTCCTGGACACAGGATCCGTTTGACGCCGATTCCTCTAAAGGGGGACTAGACGAAGCCAATGATGGGTGACTGTTAGTGTCCGGGAAATCGTCGAAGTCGAGAGTTTCTCTGATCGTGAGGGAAGTATCCAGATTTGGGAACAGAGAGGTCGATAAAGATCCTGGGGTGGATAACATTTCGATGGTCTCTGCTTCTCCAATAGAAACTTTTAGCCCTTCCCAAGACCACTGGCGAATGGGCTTTGAAATGTTTGCAAAAGCAAGATTTGGGTCGTCGAGAACTGATGCCAATCCTCTAAATTAGAACTCCATCCAATTAGTATGCTTCAGGCCCAAAGATCCCCGTTGATTCTCCTTATGGGCTTTGTACTCAAAGTTTCCTAGATTGATCAATTTGAAGGTGTAGTCCCCAATCAATCGCCATCAGGTGTGAATTGTGTAGTGACTTCATTCTCGATTATGATATCATTTTTGTCAAATCGGTTTATGTCAGTGTGCCGGTTTAGCAAGTGGAATGGTTCGACCGGTAGCACATATCGGTTTGTGCCGGTTCATGTCAGTCAATATTACAAATAAAATTATAAATACTCATATTTAAACATGACATTTAACGTCAATACCTAAACATTTATACTTGAATCCAACAAATAACATCAATATTTAAATTTTATACTCATAAAATAAATAATAAAATAATTTTTATCAATTAAATTCACTAAAATAAGGTCATTTTACTTAGAGATTCGTATATCGATCATGCCGGTCATACCGGTGGTGTCACGCCGATTTTATGACCGGTATCGGTTGAACCAGGTACAACTGGTGGCACGTCGGCCGGCGTGACAACCATTTCGTTCCAATGATTATTATGCTTAATCATTTAATGAACTATTACTTTCATATATATATATATATATATGAGACGACTGGTATGCTCCAAGAGCATAGTATGCTCCAGATGATCTGACCGTTAGATTTACATGGATTAGCTCCGACCAATCTCAACGGTCAACTCTTCTTTTCTCTTAAATTGAACTTTGGTAATACGATCCTCAATACCAAGACAAGTTAGTTTGAAAGCCAAAAGGAGTCGCGCAAACCGGAGATCGAGATTTTATAAAGATTCGAGGGCGAATCTTCTTCAAGAGAGAGGGAATGATGCGATATCATTTGAGGTTAGAGTATAGTATCATACCCCAAACTCGCTTTAATTCATGGTCTAGATAGAGATATCTCACTATCAGTACATGGAGCATAGTATGCTCCAGGAGCACACGAGTCTGACTCATATGAAGACGACTGGTATGGAGTCTGACCCTATATATATGGTGGCGTATTTGGTGCACTCACTTTTTTTTTGGTGCACTCAATGCACTCGCCTCATAATTGTCATTCCAAACATGCGATTCATGTCAAAATGATATCAATTTCCCTTATGATATTATGAACAAGAAACACATGAATTTGCAAAAAACTCATTCAAGATATACTTTAATTTCAAGGATTTAGGGATTTAGGGTTAGGGTTTAGGTATACACTTTGGGATTTTGGTTTGGGATTCAAAATTCAAGGTTAAGGGGTTAGGGTAATGGACTGATTAGTTGTGATTTTATTTTATGTGCAATGAGGATCGTATTAATATTCAAAATTTGATGTATTATAGCCACTTTTAGAGTTAGGTGCAATGAACGCACCCAAAAAAGTGAGTGCACCGTAACCAACATATATATATTCCTCAAGTATATTATACTTCTGGTACTCCTATTGAGATATATCTATCTAGAAAATGATAAATCGAGATTGGAGTATGATACTATACCCGCACCTCAAACTATATGATTTACTTATACTTAAGTATCCTGCATTAGTTTTAAAGTGCCAAAAACTCTTAATTTTATTTTATTTCTTATCTGTGTCATTTTCTCCTCTTTATATAAAATTATATCCCATTATGGATAGTATAACAATTTTCCAAAATGTTTCATGAATAACTATTGTACAAACACACATTGAATAATATAATATTATATCTAAAACAACGAAAATGTTCCGACTAAACTCTGCCGGCCAAAGGCCGGGCCAAGTGCTAGTAGACATAACATTGCAAAGATTTTATAAACCTAAGTTACCTAACCGAAACATATATATAAGGATATTTATTATTATTAAATGAATCCATTAGTATTAATTAATAATAAAAAGTAAAGGACCCGGCCAACGGCCGGGAAGAAAGCTAGTTACCAAAAGTCGGTATATCAACAATTTCACGGCATCTCTACCCCTTGGCCCTTATAGAAAAAACTACTTCACGGAAACTTAGCTCATTTTTCTTCTTTTCATAAAGATCCAAATTTTAGAATTAAAATCCTTTTTGTCATACTCACAACTGAGGGCAAAATTATTTTTTTTTATATAAAATGAAACTGGCAAAGATTCTTTGAACAGGTTCAAGATTCTAGCTACGTCCGCAAACGAAAATGATTAAAATAGGTGCCTAAGAGTTAGTCTTTCTTGATTCATATAACCCAAACCGCCCAAACTCTTTCGCATTAGAAAAACTATTTGGAGACCGGAGGAACTGGGTCACTTTCCAAACAAAATTTAGTTGCAGTTAAAATGAAAGACCCGAAAGAAAATTGCCGATGAAAGTTGCCACATCCCCATCTTTTTTCTTATAAATATATTTTTTGGGCTATTTTTTGAGGAGGGTGCATAACAATATTTATATATTTGTGTATTACAAGTTTTGACTCTTAATTTTAAGTAGAGTCAGATTTAATTATAAAAAAATAAAAGGCCTTTATTTTTTAATCAATTTGCAACTGCTTTGTTTAAACTTGGATTTCAATATTTTATACACAAATGGAACGAGTTCATTGTGATCAACAAAATTATATTAATTTTTTGATATATCTCAAGAAATTTTGTTGTGACAGTCGTTCCAACCCTAGTATTACGTGGTACAAATATTTAACACCTTCGTTTTCAACTTAAACATTGAAAATTCAGCATAGAAGAAACGAGTTCATTGTCATTTCAAATTTATGAAAAAAAATTATAGGTCCAAATATACCATTGTATACCACTCTGGTAAATGGTAGTAACTGGTGGTAGACGATGACAAAAAATGATAAATAGTGTATTCCTACTATTATTGTAAACAATCATTCAACACAATGATAATTCAACCACCATCGTACACACACCTGTATCACCATGGTATAATCTGATAAACTACCAAACATTATCACCATTATATACTATTATTGTGCACGAATTTTCTTTGCAATTTTTTTTAGAAAAACGAAAGGGAATTAAATTTAAATTTGAGAAAAAAAAAGTTATGCATGGTCCGCTCCCTTTGTGCTCGCTCTCCAATTCGTTTTCTCCGCTATATATTGATGTAGAAAAAGAAAAGCCTATCTTTCCCATGGGTGTTTCTCCCCAAGCTGAACTCTCCTTAACCTATCGGCATTTCACTGAGATTCGTTTCAGAGCCCAAATCGTTACGTTGATTTGATTTGTAATTTAATCAAAATAAAAAATGATGATCAGATGAAATTACCTAGCTACTCAGCACCCCCTATTCCTATGCGTATAAAATTGGGGTGCTGCTGTGAAATGTACGCCGCAACAGAAATGATCATCATGGGCAGGAAAGTTGATCGCCGGGCGATCCCTTTGATTCTGCTGCTTCTTCTCTCCCTTCCAGCTGCAGATTCTAGCAGACCAGCACTCCCGGCTGCCGACGCTCCAATAACTGTTCCGCCGACGCACAATCAAACCATTTCTCCCTCAACCGTGCGACCCACTTGCGATGATGGTACTTAATTCATTCTTCTTCAAGCAGATATATTATTACTATTAATTAGGCAAGCAATTTAACTTATGATTGCTACGTACTTGTTTATTCGGTGTAGAGGGACCTATCTGTCAGTGGCTTGGTGTCACGTGTTGTCATTCGTGATGGGATGGGAGCAATCAATCATCTCTGATCGATCGAGTTGAAGAGAAGAGAAGAGCAACTTCTTTCTACTGCGCGCAATTTCCACCGTTACATTTATGGTGTTGCTGTAAAATATTACTGCTCCGCCTCTCTTCTGCGACACGGATAAAACAGCTAAGTTAATGGTGATTAATGATGCATGTTAGTTTTCAGGTCAAGTCGTCGAGTAATGTTATGATCGGATGATAGGTGGGTTGATGGTTTCAGTATTTATCAATACATTCATCAGTTTCCTCTCTAAGCTACAAGAATCGTGCATGTTGCCAGACGCACATTCCTAGCTACACGATTGATATCTGCCGTGTTTAGTGGTGTACTTGTATGCTTCACCCTCGGTCACATCTTGTTTGCGACATAAACCAAAGTGATCGGGTTTTGGTGGTAAATACCGTTTGTCACAATACATGAGGATTTTGGCGACCAAATTTATGAATGGTCGCAAATCATGTATCGGTATCACCATATCTGTTGGTCACTAATGAATTAGCAGGTAATTAATTGGTCATAAATTATAAATGTCAACTAATTTGTTTCACTTTAAGCAACGAACGGATTAGAACACAAAATCAATAAATATGATCATTAATATATTCTTTTTAACCAATTAATAATCTTTAAGTAACAAAAAAAAATTACTGGCTATCAAATTCGTATCAAAACCAATCTATATCTTTTTGTAACAAAAAAAAAGGGTTGTAAATTATTTTAGCACAACCAAAATTTATGGTAACCATGTTTGGAATATAACCAGTAACCACTAACCAATTTTTTACCATAAATTCTTCGACACCTTCTGATCAATCCAAACTTCACTAATCGTCATGTTCCAAAGCAATTTGCCGCTTTCCTCCCTTTAAATTTTACCACTGCTGCCTGCAAACTCTTCTGCCAACCTCCAACTTGGTCTGTAAAACGAGTGAGGGGGAAATACAATTGACAATATAACAAGCATATAAGGACATTGAAAGAAGATATGATCCCTCGATTCCTCATGAGATGAATAAAGGGAACACTGGTTTACTAGATCAGGTTTCCACTTCTTAATCTTGTCAAATGTATTAACCAAACAATGAGTGGGTTCCTGGGGATCATATGTTGGTTTCAAAGTAAGCCGACCCATGTGTTCCTCACTTGTTTAGGTCTGAAGTGTCAAATAACCAATCCGAATGCAAGAACGAAAGGAACAAACGAATTTTTAACGTGGTATCGTCTGTAAGACACTAGTCCACAGAGAGGATCTCCCTCTCGGGTTTTAAGCTTTTTTTATGCATTAGTTTTTCTGTTCTGTATACAACTATATATATACGGTTTGCTAGAACAAACCCTAGATACAATTACATAAATGTACCCTTACTTTAACACCCTCCCTCAAATTGATGTCGATTACTCAACATCAATTTGCAAGAGAGATACCAATGTCGGCTCGAGCTAACTGCCTTCGTCAGAATGTCCGCAGTTTGGTCTTTAGTGGATAGATGACTAATCTGGATCACCCCTTCATACACTAGTTGTCATATGTAATAAACGTGTATCTGTATGTGTTTCGTGCGATCATGAAGAACAGGATTAATCGCATTCTGAATTGTATTCGTATTATCTCCAAATAACTGAATGGGCATCCTGTAGTTAACTCCGAGCTCAGCAAACACCCTCTGCAGCCATACCATTTCTAAGCTGACCTTAGACATAGATCTATACTCAGCCTCTGTTTACGACTTAGAGACTTTATCCTGTTTTCTACATCGCCATGACACAAATGCATGACCAAACCGAATGCACCATCCTGAAGTGGACCTTCTAGTAACCAAGCACCCTGCATAATCAGCATCTGCAAATGCCTCTATAACTGGTTCTCCACTGCTAAGAAAAGCAAGTCCAGCTTCCTTGGTATATTTCAAATACCGCAATATTCGATGTACTGCATCCAAATGTTGAGTTCGAGCAACTCTCATAAACTGGCTCACCACCTATACTGCGTAGGCTATATCCGGTCTCGTATGTGTTAGATAAATTAAGCTCCCCACAATGCTTTTATAAAACGTCTGGTCCTCCAACAATTCACCACTCTCTCGACTCAATTTTAAATTATGTTCCATAGGGGTGGAACACGGCTTGCAATCCTGGTATTCTGCAGAAGTAAGCAAATCCGAGATATATTTCTTTTGACATAAGAAGAAACCAGCATCTGAGTGTACCACTTCGAGTCCCAGGAAGTATGAAACAGGACCCAACTCTTTCAGATTAAACGCATCTCGTAACACTACAGTCAATTCCTTTATCCCGGCTTGATCACTCCATGTGACAATCATGTCATCAACATATAGTAGCAACACGACTATTCCTTCAACCGTCTTCCTGATGAACATGGAAGGATCATTCTGACTTTAGAGTAACCCAGCCTGAACAATTGTTCCATGAAATTTTTCGAACCACGCCCGTGGAGCCTGCTTCCACCCATACAATGATCGTTTCACTCTACACACCATTCCTGGTCCACCCTTCGTGTATCCCTTTGGGCAGGCCATGTATATCATCTCCTTAAGGTCACCGTGCAAGAAGGCATTCTTCACATCAAACTGAATCACCTCCCAACCATGCATGTCCGCCATGCAAACACACTGGGAACAGTCTGCATTTTCACCACCGGTGCAAACATTTTATCATAGTCGATACCAAACTCTTGCCGAAATCCTTGAGCAACCAAACGGGCCTTATGACGTTCAATCAAGACATCTCGAAACATCTTGATATTATAAACCCAACGACAGCCTATAACGGTCATCTCTGGTATCCGTGGTACCACATCCCAAATATGATTCTCTTCCAAAGCATCCATTTATGTTTTCATGGCAGCATCCCAAAAGGGATTTCCCTTCGCAAAACGATAGTGGGTGGGGATACTAACTGGTTTCGTGGAAACCAAACGTAGTCTTGTAAGCGAAGAGGAGGCTGCCCAAGATTTCGTCGATTTGACCGACGTGGTTCCGGTAATGGTGGAGGAGAAGGCGAAGGCTGAAACCCAGCATCTTCAAGAAACATTGATGCACCAGAACAGGACTCACTAGATGTCCCTGTTGAAGAAAGGTTGTTTTCATTATTTGCCAAGGAGAGGTCACCTCCATCGGGTGAAGAGGAGCTACCGCCGCTGCCTGTTGAGGAAGAAGAAGAGCTACCACTGCCCGACGAAGATGAGGACGTGTTGTGCATGGAGACTGAAGGAGTATGCGAGGGGGAATTCTCTAATGGAGGCTGCTGATTCCCTCCCTGAAATCCCACCGCCGGGTAGGCAAGTTGAGGTACCACGACCGGGAAGTCCGCCAAAACAAACGGCTGAAGAAATTCAAGGTCCTGATCAAGATTTCAAGCACCCAGAGGATAAACATCACCTTTTCCAAGAAGACAACATGACAAGAAACTCGAATTCGTCGTCCAACAGGATCATAACATAAATATCTCTTCTGTCTAGTGTTGTAACCAACAAAGACACAATGAGCTATCTTGACATCCACTTTAGGTCTCTCTTTCTTCGATTTAAGAACGACAACCAAAAACTTTTAAGAAGGAGTAGTCTGGAATCCGCCCATACAATCGCTAGTAAGCAGAGTCGCCATTCAAAACTGTGGTCGGCTGACGGTTGATCAAGTAGACAACCGTGCTCACCGCTTCAACCCAAAATCCTTTAGGTACCATTGATTGACATAGAAGAGCCCAGATCAGCTCAATAACATGCATGTGCTTTCGCTCTACCAATCTGTTCTGTTGTGACACACCCGGACATGACAGCTGAGAAAGAATACCATGTTGAGCATAGAAATCCATTAACGGGTGAGAAGTAAACTCTCAGCCTGGATCAGAAAGAATTATTTTCACAGTTTTCCCAAACTGCATCTGAACCATTTGAACCAAATCCTTGGCGTATTTGATTAATTTTGACTTAATACACATAAAATAGATCCATGCAAAGCGAGTCACGTGATTGAAAAATAGAGCGAAATAGCGATATCCCAACCTGGAATTAACCTGAGATGGTCCCCATAAGTCCGTATGGACTAAGTGAAAAGGAGCAGTATAAGTGGTGTCACTGGACGTGAACGAAAACTGAGTTGTCTTGGCCTCTATACAACTCTCACATGGTGAGGGCGCACCAAAGTGCTTACTCACCTTCGTAGGCAATAAATCATTCCAAAACGTAGATAATAATTGTGTTGTATGTGGATGTCCAAGACGACAATGCCATAAATCTCAAACCAATGAATCCAATGCCTCACTTAGCCGAACAGAAAAAACAAATGAACTAGAAGCATCCAAAACTTTCAAAGAATGCACAAAATCTTTATGCTCAACACCAAAAGGGGCTAATTCTTCAAATTAAAAAATAGAAGGTAGGCCCTTCTCTTTGGGTGGCTTCTGAGCTCGGCAACTCCCCTCCTTCCCACCAAACCGTCGACAGGCAACAAATGGAGGTAAATATTCTTTAAGCACAAAAGCACGACCATCCTTCCTACCCTTCCCGATCACCTTCCCGTTGGTCTGGTGCTGCACCACATAGGCTAGGAACTAAATCAGGCACCACACGAGACGAAAATGTAACATTACAACCCTCTTTTGTTAGCTGACTGACCGAGACTAGGCTAGGAACTAAATCGGGCACATAAAGGGTATTCGGCAAGCAAATATCAGGTGAAACAATATCCACTTTGCCATGAACCCGAATCTGATCCCCATTAACCACCTGTAAATGCATGGTACTATCGCGACGTATCCCGGAGGACGAAGAGAAAGCCCGCATCATATGGTTAAAGGCAGCAAAATCCAATAACCATCGAGGAAAATTACCTGTCGATGCACCTGTAGCAAAAGCAACAATTAAAGCAGTCGGTAACCTGAAGAGCCTCCGCCATGAGACGAAAAATGAGATCAGGTGAAACACCACCCGACGCCCTAGACGAGGAGGCTGCATCCATGCCCTCAGCGCGAGGAAGAGGTTGTGCGGAGTCCACTGCATACCCAG